ACTCGTGCTGAAACCGAAAAACCGGTATCGGTGCATCCCTAGTGTCAAGGTACCCGGTCTGTTAGCCCTCCACAGCTGAGCTTATAAAGGACACATGAAGATCTTATGAATGAGGTTGATGGAGGACAGATTGGGCATTGACTGGCCATAATGGTGATCTTACACATTCTTATGTTCAATGCTAATGTTGCTGGTTAGGGGTTTGGTTGAGGGATAGTGTTGGGGGTGCGGTTGAGCGATGGGGTTATGGGTGAGGTGTGGAGTGTTAGGGGTTTAGTTGAGGGATAGTGTTGGGGGTGCGGTTGAGCGATGGGGTTATGGGTGAGGTGTGGAGTGTTAGGGGTTTAGTTGAGGGATAGTGTTGGGGGTGCGGTTGAGCGATGGGGTTATGGGTGAGGTGTGGAGTGTTAGGGGTTTAGTTGAGGGATAGTGTTGGGGGTGCGGTTGAGCGATGGGGTTATGGGTGAGGTGTGGAGTGTTAGGGGTTTAGTTGAGGGATAGTGTTGGGGGTGCGGTTGAGCGATGGGGTTATGGGTGAGGTGTGGAGTGTTAGGGGTTTAGTTGAGGGATAGTGTTGGGGGTGCGGTTGAGCGATGGGGTTATGGGTGAGGTGTGGAGTGTTAGGGGTTTAGTTGAGGGATAGTGTTGGGGGTGCGGTTGAGCGATGGGGTTATGGGTGAGGTGTGGAGTGTTAGGGGTTTAGTTGAGGGATAGTGTTGGGGGTGCGGTTGAGCGATGGGGTTATGGGTGAGGTGTGGAGTGTTAGGGGTTTAGTTGAGGGATAGTGTTGGGGGTGCGGTTGAGCGATGGGGTTATGGGTGAGGTGTGGAGTGTTAGGGGTTTGGTTGAGGGATGGGATAACTGGTTAGGTTGCTGGTTCAATGTGAGGTTAAAGGACAATGAAAATTCCAATTGCTAATGGAATTGGATTTCGGATCTTCACTCGTTTCTCACAGCTACGTTTCATGTGATGGTTTGGTTCCATATTAGAGAAAATCGAGGAAAGATGAAAATGTTGTGTCCATTTCCAGGGTTGAGAAGAGCAGACTCTAATGTTTCATCTATAGGTGGGTTCTGGTGGGCTGCATTACCCCTTTGCTCACCCATTGTAGTGGCATCTCCAGCAGAGACTTTGTTTTCCGGTATAGTTCTCCAGCTTTGGATGTGCTCACAATCCACTTGTAGTGACATTCATGTAGTTCTCCAAATGTCAGAATGCTGTCTCTAACGGCTATTGCTGATTCATATACTTATAATCCATATTACAAAATTGTACATTCATATAACTTTTACATATTCCATATAATTCTTATCAAGTATATCATTATTTGGTGAGTCCCCTACGCGTTACGCCCACAACGGCTTCGCTTCTTCAGGGGGGGTATGTTTGTTTTGTTTGTTTGTATCTATCGATTTTCAGCAATAATCTGTCTTTTTGAAGAAAAACACACATATAATACAATATAAGTCAGTATTCAACCATGATACATTATTTAGTACATATATCTGAGTCCTTTCTAAACACACTCATCACAATAGCAATATTGTAAATGATTCTTTGTAACTCAATAATTGGGAGGTGTGGACTCAGGTCACCTTGGCTGAGGTCGGGAAGTGCTAGTACTGGATTTACATTAAAAAAACTCACCACTGTAATATATCATTTTTGGGTGGTGGCGAGGCAGGGCAGCAATAGTAAGTCCATGGTCCCATCGCACTCCTGACCGCCAAATCCCTTTAAAAAGCGGGTGCTGGTAGTCAACGGGTGGCATCCGTTATAATCACAAGTAAAGATAAAGACACCGGCGCTCCAAATTCATAAGCAAACGTCTATTGACGTGCAGCATAGTGAACAGCAACGAACGTTTCGGGGTCACAGAGGATCCCCTTCCCCCATACGTTTATGCTTTTGCCTGAGGCAGGGGATCCTCTGTGACCCTGAAACGTTCGTTGCTGTTCACTATGCTGCACGTCAATAAAAGGGCAGCAATAGTGACACAAGAAGCTCCATGCTGCAGGCTGAGGTCTGATTAGTACTTGATGGTTGTCCCAGAATGGAAATGGGCAACAAGAACTGTGCAACCCTTTATCACGTTTGATGAGATCCAATGTGTCTCGGGTTTTTCTGCTCCCGATTTCCACTCCAATGTAAGTTCAGCCCTTCTGCGTGGCCTGTGACGTCTGGGTCATGAAGCAGTGACACATGTAATGAGGAGAGGTGGGAGGATCCTCCTCATTGTTTATATTCATTATCTTGCCTTCCGTGTTGTGCTGGCGCTGCATTTTCTTCCTCATATTCCAGCAGATCATTGGTTTTCCTGCTTTAAAATGACCCGTCTGACGCACATGACAAAGGCTTTCTTACAGATTGGACATCATGGATGTCATATTGCTCTAGGACAGTGGTGGCGAACCTTGGCACTCCAGCTGTTTTGGAACTACAAGTCCCATGAGGCATTGCAAGGCTCTGACAGCCACAGACATAACTCCCAGAGGCAGGTGCATGTTGGGATTTGTAGTTTTGGCACAGCTGGAGTGCCAAGGTT